GTGTGTGTGTGTGTGTGTGTGTGTGTGTGTATATTTTATTGGATCAGTGCCCCACTCACTAATGGGTATCTCAAACTGTGTCATGAGTTAAAATAAAGTTTGTCTCCTCTTTCTTCTTTTTTTTTTTTGATAAGGTTATTAGAATACATGTATTCCCTGTCAACACATGTACAGTCTATGTTTTTCCAGTCAGTGACTCACCAGTGCTGGTGCCGTAGGTGCGAACAGTGGTGTCAGTTGGCGGGAGCGAGCCTGAGTCTAGGGAAGCCACGTCATCATCTTGAGAGCAGCCCGCCTGGATGGCTCTCAGGTAGCTGTGGCTGCGGGAGCGGAAGCAAGTGGGCATGGGCAAGTCTGGAGGATCTGGGTTGTCCTGAGAATGGGAACGGGAATCTCGGAATGTGGAGTCAGAGCTACGGTCCTCGTAATGATGACTCATGTCCAGGTCCCGGATCTGTGCGGAAGCAGATGGAAGAAATGTCTGGAAACATTCAATTTATTTTAACCCTGGAACCATGGATGTGAACATGTTTTGAATTTTATCCATCCATCCATTTTCTATACCGCTTGATCTCATCGATGTAGCCTGTTTGGACTTTGTATGAATTAAAGTGAATTCATTTATTCCAGGCTCAAAGTGTGGCCTTCATCTTTATTAACTGTTCAGTCTATGTTTTGAGTGCCATTGTAACAGTCCTAACTGCCATATAGTGTAAGTGTAAAAGGAAGTTAAGCACTGCGCAGTGTCATGTCAATCTCAGTGTCATTTAAGATAGGCTCTTTGAGCATCTTTAGGGATCACTTCATTTCATGCGGGAAAGTTTGCTCGGAGATAACTTCATGAAATATTCATCTGGTACTTTTTTTTTTTTTATGAAGTAATAAAAAATATCGGCTTAGCAAAGAAGAGAAAAAAAAATTGCCCCGGGAATACAATTTTGGGTCTCACTCGGCTTACAAATAGCGCATCAAATCCAACAGCCAACTATAATTTTGAAGCACTGACCTGCCCCATACAGCTACGTCTGCCCAATGTGCTGCAGGCATGGCCGAAGTCATCATCATCCCAGTGTGGCACAGGCGAGCCTGTGCCCCCAATGCAGTCAAGGTTGTCCAGGCTGCGGTTATTGGCGAGCTCTCTGAGAGATGGAAGACAGCTGCAAAACAAAACAAATGTACTCAGGTCAAATTGGAAGAGCAAGCGATATCAGGACATACTTTGGCAAAGGAAGGGTGAACAGTCAACGTTGATATTTGATGATGGGGAGGCAGCAAGAGAGGAAATTCCAAACCAGGTGTGCAGCAATTGAAAGAGAAATAAAAAGAGGACTAGCGGATGATTATTCAAGGCATCGCTTTTACTTTCTCATTGCGTGGCCTCCATTTTTCAATTTCGATTTATCCCTTACAAAAAAACGTTTTGCAAACTGATGTGCAGTTACGGTGCTGGTTCCAATTTGCTTCATGTAAGTACACAAGCAAGTACTGTACACATATTGTAGATGCCATGTGAAAAGCAATAGGCTTGAACTGAAAATAACATGACATCAGAGAATATCATCATAGTAAAATCAAAATGTCTATCTCGTACGTGCTAAGAATAACTAATACAAATAAAATTACCAATAAAAACAAATTACACAATTGTTTTTTACAAATACAATAAGGAAAAAACAAACAAAAAAAAAAATTACAAGATCAATTTTTGGATCGGCTAGGTTTATAATTAAGTAATGACATTTTTTTTTTTGTAAGGGATTTGAGCGTCAGAGCATGCAAAGCTGGTGATGTCGGGTGGCATATGGTCCGCTCACTGAATCGTCATGATGCCAAACAAGCAAAAGAAAAGGGTTATGCTTCTCAAAAGACAACTTTGACAACGTTGTCATGGCTGGCGCACAATGATCATAACAATGAGCACGATATGTCGACAACTTCTTCCCCAGAGTCAAATCACAGAATAGGAGTTTTCCCCGAAAAGCGCCGGGCTGATGCTATTTACAAGCTTGCTGGTGGGCAGCTGTGATTGACAGCATGGCATGGGTTTGTCACCTCCAGGAAGTTATTGCTGGCTTGTCGGCGAAGCAACAACACACCCCTGGGATGTGTCTTATTTGGGCCTATCACTGACCTGCTCATTGACCTGCCCAGTTGGTTGAGGGAGGACACACTGTGGACGGGTGACCACAGGGCATCCAGTTCCCCTTGCAAAAAGGAATAATCCAGGGTTCTGCTGCTCACGCCAGCAGGCCACAAGAGAGCCACGGGTTAGTCATTCATGCATGTTGACAATCCAACACAATGTGGTATTCTTGATACCTAACACGCATCAACATGTTATCTTCCGCATGGACCAACTTGACAACTCTCAACATATCAAGCAAACAGCATGCCAAGTAAACAATATGACTATTGTTTTACAATAATAATTACAATAATAATCCTTGTCTATCTTTACCTTTAATCTGCCTGTCTGTCTGTGTCATGAAAAAGGAAAATATATATATAAAAAAAAAAATTCTCATTCCGATGCACACTCAATAAAATATGAAATACAAATGTGTGTCCATTCGAACGTGTGATGACAAGGAATTATAATGTTTTTTGCTCTACATTGCTCTACCAAAGAAGGTTCCCCACAAATCTTTCATATAAAAATAGCGCTGATGTGTCGCAGTTGTACCCCTCTGCAAATTACAAGTAGCATCATGTCTCGTTAAATGAACGCCTCTGTGACAGTGTTGATTTAAAAAAAGGGGGCCTTGCAGTACTGCAGTCACAAGGATGGAATTCTTGCACTGCATCAATATATTACATTAGTTTACCAAATGTTGTGGCCCGCAAGGATTTGTTTTTGGATCCCCTAAAGGGATCTGTATAAATGCAGAATGCTCAATCTATTACTTATTCGAATTTGTCTCAGTTGCTTTGGTACAACAAATTTGCGCAAATAGCAAAATATCACGGTTCCCCTGCAGAAGCCATTTTCTTTCTCAAAAGCCTTACTACATCGCTCAGAAGTTAAGATTTAAAGTTTTTATGTCATTTTCTACAAATAAGACGGTCAATATAACAGCACGCTCTGGAGGGAAGCTCTGGTGAAAACTGCTGCTTAAGTTTGAATGACAAAATCGGTATTCTAAATAAATTGAACGTTATACCTTAGAATATGAGGAATGATATTAAATTAGCATTTGAATAAAACCACACCATTGCATTGCATTGTTTGAATCACCATTAGATCAAAAAAATAAGTCGACATTTGATCTCCACAGCAAATGTAGCCGGAGGAAAAATCCGTGTCAACTTCAGAGCGTAGGTGTGTGTCCCCCGGCAAATGTTTTGAATTCGGTGTCGACATAAAAAGACATGGCAGCGCTGTCTTGTTTCCGTTTTCACCATATTGTCATTGCTACAAAGAAAGTGCTCTCTTCACACATTTGATGTGACGTTACCTCAAATGTTGCCCTGCTGTGCCTTCATCACACATAGTGCATCATGTCTGCTTTCGAAAGCCTTTTACAAAGAGGCAAGAGATGTCTTGTCTACTTTCAGTGACTAGTCTATGAATAAACATCAACAGGTCAAATACTGATAAAACTTTTATGGGGGAGGTTTAGATTTCTGCTACCTAGACACAATCTACAAGCAGGGGTGTCAAACTCATTTTTGTCACGGACCACATTTTAGTTACGGTTTCCCTTGGAGAGCCGTTATGAATTTTGGGAAACCATATAAATGTTTAATCACCTCCACATTTTACATACACGGCGCACAACAAATTGATGGATAACCAGTTTTAAAATCAGAAGTCAAGAACGACCATGTGAAATTTTGGTTCAGACTTTAGCAAGTATCATGGAACTTGACGTGCTTGATTTGCTTTTGCGGGCCACATAAAATGATGTGGTCGGCCAGATCTGGCCCCCGGGCCTTGACTTTGACACCGGTGATCTCCAGTATGTACGTCGCTTTTTTATTTGAGCTAATACAGTACAACATGTCTTTGTCACATTTTGGGCTCTACATTCGAGCGCACACACACTCAGGCGTAAAAATTGGCACAGCTTCATCTTCGTGCCGGCGCGAGCCTTGTTTCGGGGCGTTTGGCAATTTGGCAGACCGCGCTGCAAACCGCCTGTTTCAACTGTACGAAATAGCGAAAATACCAAAGGAAACTCAAATCCACTCATGCATACAGTAAGACCGCTCTTTGAGCTAAAATTGCGCTGGGCACGCATATCAAGCCATTTATGTGTGCGAGTGTGTTTTTGTTGTATTTGTATTTCTCACCGAACTGGTATAGAATATGCATCATGAATACATCATTTATGCAAAGAAAATGGAAGCTTGCTTGGCCCCTTTCAAATGTAAAAATGTTCTGCCTATCAATTCTCTGCACCTTGTAACATAAATTAAACTAATCAGACTACTAACTACATGTAAATGGCTTTTTAAGTGCCCTCGAGTGTCTGCCTGTTGTCAGCGCACTCTAAAGAGCTTAATTAGATGTTTGTTCTTAAAACGCACATTGAGACTCATACAGGCATTTTCACCGTCCAATTCTTATTGAGTAGGCCAAAATTTCTCCTTCCTTTCAAAGGTTTTCGCAACTTCTGATTGAGAACTAACAACTGGCCACTCCCACTTTATTTAGTGCATGCTGAATAGAATGCGTAAGATTACCCAAGATAATTATATAACGTGTAACATGCGCTGTCTTAGTTGGCGGTGGCCTTACTTGCGTGGGGGTAGCTGGTCACTCAGAGAATGCTGCGTGGCCCTGAGGTAGCTCTGGCGGCGAGCGGCAGTCTTTGGCGAGGGTTTGGGGCTCCCCTCCGAGTCTTCGCTGTCCTCCATGTCTGCCATGGCCTTCACGTAGCTTCCGCTGCGCATGCGCCGGCATGGAATTTCATTGGCGCCCCCGCTGCGGCCTAATGAGCTGCTCCAATCCCCCTGCAGGCAGCAACAAACGGCTAAATTTTGTTTCCAAAGCGACGCCGCGCTGTCACACCACTTCTGTTTCATTACAGTGAGTGATGCTCATCCTATCAGGTCACAAATAGTAATCGTGGTTTCCATTCAAAGCGTTTGGTGTGCGACGGCGTTTAGGCCTTACTTACCCTTCGGCCGACCTGCAGGTAGTTGCAAGTCAGTTCTGGTTGGCATGATCTGGACTTGAGCAAGGACCTATCAAGAGTGGCTGAGCCCTTCTGGAGCACTTGCTTTGGTTGGCCCATAGTCAGTGCGGACCAAGATCCTCCTTTCATGTTATCATTCATAAGCACATTCCCTGGTCCTTCAAGTCCATTTCCTCCTCCACTCATCGGTGCGGCTAGTGTCTGATACTTCATGTCATTGCTGCTTTTAGATGAGCTGATGGTGTTATAGCCGCTATGAATGTATTTATTCTGGCCCCCGTGGCTCTCCTGGCCAGCGGGTCGTCCTAGGGTCATCATGGCCATAGTGTTGTGGAAGCTGCTTATGTCATTGCTGTCCAGATCATCGGAACTCCAGTACCCTGACATGTTGGAACGCGGCCGGCGCTTGGCGGTCGCTTCCGATTTAGTTCCGCGATCTTTACTTTTGGCTCTGCGGTTATGCTTCCCACCGTCGTCAGTGCCCGACGAACCTCCGCCGCTACCCGTTGAGCGTCCGTTGACGTTTCCTTTCATGTGGTGGCTTTCCAGTGACTGGGACTTTGCAAAGAGCTTCTGCACCGAGTGCAGCATGTAACGGATGCGACCAGGACTGTCCGTACGCTGTTTACCTGCGGTTACTGCAGATGTTCTGTGGAACTGCAAGGTGCTGAAGCCATCCCGACCGCCAGCTAACTGCTTATCAAACTCCAGAAGGCTGTGCGGTGCCTGGTTCTTGGTCATGTGATGCGATATTGTAGCCGAGCCGCTCGTAATCATGGACGTTCGTCCAGTAAGCTCAGCCATGCCCATACCCGATCCCATGCCCATCGACACGGACGCTCCCAACGTCCCAGTTCTCATTCCGCCTATGCCCTCTACAGGTGGGGAGAAGTCCGACGGATCGTAGGAGTTGTAGTGAATCCTGGGGAAGGTGCTGCTGTTTGACAGCTGGTTGTTGAGGGGGAGCAGGCATTCTGGCGGAAGGGACCCTGGGTTGGCTGATGGGTAAAGATGGGGGTCCATAGTGCCATATTGGTCCATTGTTGGGCTGAGCAGGTAAGGACTTCGCGGCATGGTGCTGGTCTTCTGAGGGTAGAGAGCCTCTAAGTGGCCAGCGGAAGGGTCACAGGAGTCAGACAGGTGTCTGGTATGGCTGGTCCCCAGCCCTTTCATAATGGCGAGGAGGCCCAACCCTCTAGTCGACCTCCAACCCTAGAAGTTGACTCCTGGCCAATAGATGGAGAAAAAAAAATGGAGAATTAGAATCAAACATACAAAGGCTATGCCAGAGATTACACTCCTACTCGCAAGGCCAACCAGACGACAAATAAGATATGTGTTGCACTGTGAGACAAATATTGTATGTGCCAACAATACATTGCCGGCTACAATGAACAATTGTGCTAGAAACTGATGGAACAACAATATACGTATCAATGAAGGTCTTCAGGTAGTGGGTCGAAGTGGGCACAATTACCGGCAGTCCACAAGAGGCAACTCCACAATTTACGTCGATTGAATATTCTCATTAATAATCTCTTCTTTCTGTAGCAATTTCTTCAAAGTTTGAAAGTAATGCAGAGTTCATCTGTCATCCATTTCGATGGATTTGTGCGCCCGTGATTGCAAAACTTTTGTGTCACTCGTAAACAATTCAGATCTCATAGGATCAGCAAGCATGAAATTCAGATGGTGTTTTGTGCTATGCAATATTAATAATGTTGCCAAAGAGCAATGTACTTAGCAAAAATAAAGTTCTACAAACATGCATTCGTTGAATAATTCAAGTGGTTTTACTTCTTGCTTGATTTCGTTCGTAAGGCATTGCAGCTTAGAAAACCTTGATGAATAGAGAGCGCATATGTGATGCATAAAAGTTGAATGTTGAATTACGTCGCGAGCAGGTCAGCGAGCTATTACGTGTGGCTATGATAATTTGAGCCGAGAGCCGCTAGGAGGGGACCTTGAACCTGAAACAGAGAACAGCAACAGACGAGCATTTCTGTACTGTATCATCTGGAAAAAAAGTAAAAATAAAATTATAACTTCCCAAGGAAAGGGATGACGAATGATAAAATGTGTCCGTGATACTTAACTACATCCTTAACCTCTGAGTCTGTTTCTGTGCGTGTCTTGGTGTCAAGAAAACCAGTCAGTCGGGATAGGCTACAGATCAAATGTGATCCTAATGGCATAATAATAGCGTGACACAAAATGCATTTTCGTCCAATTTGTACTTGGTGGTTATTATTTACCACCAAATTAGGCTGTGAAAAGTCAGGGAAAAAATAGCTGAAACTTGGTATTTGTTCTATTAAAGCAGATTGGATCAGAAGCTGGATTGGAGCCGACATGACTGACTGCGTTCTTAGTAAACAACAGACACACACTGATGGAGTGATGCAGTAAAGACATTTTGTACCCAGTGGAACGGCTATTCAAATTTACAAGGAAAAGCAACTCATTTTGCCTTAATTGCCATGCTCACCTTTACCTCAACCAAGACCCGCAGGAAGAAAAGATAATTGCAAGCTGCTCGATAAAAGGAGGCTCATTCATGAGATGATGCTACGAGGTGATGTAACGTAATTTAATTTTCGAACGAAGCTTCGGGTGAAGTCAAATGTAGCAGGTGTCGCATGACCTCCATCTTGCCTTCGTAATCCAATGTTTCTTCTGCACATGAATATCAAATAGCTGTTCAGCCCCCGCCCTCCTAAAAAAAAGTCTGTAAATGATATGCCTTGCTGTCAAGCCCCCATTATTAGCATGCTGCAAGCACAGACTCATTTAGTGTCATTAACGCAGCTTCTCTGAGTGCCATCTTTGCTGATAGGGTCAAATCCTCTAAATCCTTTTACACCACATTAGCTAACTGCCTCAGATCTCATAGTGGCACGCCACTCAGATAAGCTTAACACATCATCTTCAATGTGTCACCCAGTATGGCGACCGGTACATTATCAACGAAGGCAGGCATAAAAGCTGTGCGCTTTCACCGAGTGAACGGGTTTGACAAACTGCAAAGCAGATGTTTTATCTTTCGTATGACATTGTAGGGGGACATCATAGAAAAACATTTGCTAGATTCCTGTTAAAACTCAAAGTAGACTACCACGTTTAACTATTTGCGCAGGTGGTCTAGTGGGATTTTGGTGAATTTGATGGAGGTGCAGGCAGACTGATAGGAAGATTTGCGTGTGTGGTGGCTGTCATCGTATTTCTTCCATAAATATGACATCAGTGTGCATTGAAACCTCTAAAACAATGTAGTGATCGATGAACTGAATGAATTATTATTCTATTTTTATTTTCATTATCTAATTTTTATGCCATTTTCTAAATAACCCTCCCTGCAGTGGCATTGCTGATCACAGTAGCCAACTTTGCATCATCCGCCCGTGGAGATCTGCTTCCATTGTCTCATAAATGTAACGTGCGTGTTTCAACCTCCCGCATGGACTTCAGCAAATTATTTTCTGCTTCCATCATTTCAGGGTGCCATTTTTTTAAAGTTGATGCTTCGATTGATGGCGAATCAAGTCAGCTGTGTTCACACCCAAAACGGTGCAAAACGCCCATTTTTAAGTGTGTACTGTGCCCATCTGCAGACATACCAAAACGCAGTCTAACACGCCCCTGCGCAGATTTACACTGTGCCTTGCGCTATTAGGCTCGGATTTGGCATGAAAATAGAGTCCAAGGCATAAATCTCTTTGTTCTATGTTTAGTTTGGCAGTAAACTTCAACAGGGAGTGGAAATAAACAAAATAAAGTCTCTTATTTTGAATGACTGTATCTGCCAAACTGCTGCTTGCTGTGAAGCGTGTTGAGTCCCCACCACCATACATAATGTGTATAGCAAGTCTGCACTCACAAGTCAAGTCTTGAAAAACTTTCAAGGCACCACTTTATAAAAAAAGTGCTTACATTCTCCACCGACAACGCTTCAAAAACTATGCCATGCCTTTAATTGAACCACAATGCCCACTCCGGCGTACCTGCATACACCGCTGAATGTGGAATGGATGTGTGTGAGAGAGATCAAAACTAGGCAGGTCCTATTCATGCTGGTAATCATGACATCCAATGTAACTTCAAATAAAACAGCCAGACGATTTACGATGCCCAGAAGAGACATTCAGTCATCAGAAAGGGAATCATCTAGGTCAGGCGTCTGCACTCCGTTGTTAGTTAGAATACAAATGTTTAGTGCTCAGTGCGTGCAACAATGCGAGTGTGAGTGTTCATGGTGTGTGTGTAATATTACACCCTGCATGGAGCGTCTGGTGGCAGCCGAGTGCACAGGGAAGCTGCCATCTGGTCCGATTATAATTCTTTGATACGATGACGACTTTACAACTAGCCAGGGCTTTCGCGTCAATTTGTAGCATCTTAGGGAATTGTAGAACGAGCACAAAATAATGTCAATAGGGGAATTGTGACCAGAAAATCTTGTTTAGGCAGAGTTCATTCTTCTTTGACAGTGCTTAAATCGAAAACTGAGGGTTATTATTATTATTATTGTAAAGGTGGAATTATTGATAAAGATCATGTTTTAGATCTCACAGAAGTGTAGCAAAGGACATACACTAGACACGGTAGCAGCGTGGATTTATTGATACAGATCATGTTTTAGATCTCACAGAGGTGTAGCAAAGGACATACACTAGACACGGTAGCAGCATCATCACATAGTTTAGCCCATAAATCTTCGCTCCTGTATATGCGTAATGCAAATGATTACTTATTATTATTATTATAAATGTATATATATCTTTTTTACTCGTAATTTCTATAACAGCAAGTCAGTGGGCGAGCTTATGCAAAGGATATCATCCTTTCATCTGAGCGTTGGTGCACGGCTCAGTCAGTCAGAATTGAGTCCATCTGCTGTACTGGCCTGGAACACATGGGGCAAATCTCACGCGTCTGTGTGTGAGCTCACAATTATGGGTCCCAAACTTTGAGTGTTAAGGAGGAAGCGACGGCGTGAAGCTGCGGCGCGAGGTTAACGCCGGCGAAAATGAAAGCGATCCAGCGGGAATGAGGCGGCTTCCATGGCAGCGGAGGAAGATGAGAGACGAGTTGGAGGAACAAAGAAGGGGGGGATACGCAGCCAGGAGAGTTCATATCTTTAAAAACATGTCAAACTAAAATGAGTTTCTTTCCGCTGAGCTTTACTTTATAATACAGAAATATCAGGGGGGGAGATGCAGAGACCTTTGGAGGCACAGATGCTAAAAGTTGAAAAGAGGGCATATGGAACTTTAAAAAAAAACGTTTTTAATTAACCCATTCAGGGACAGCGGTTACTACAGTGGACAGCTTATTGTGTTAGCAGGTTACAGGCTGCATGAAAAGGTTAATGTGCAAACAAAACAAAAAAATAAAATATCAAAATGACTACGAAATGCTACTTTATGGCCATTCGATACAAATTAATAGCTCACTAATGAACAGTTGGGCAAGCAAATGGAGAGCTCCTTTGATGGAAATTGTAATGTTGGGGTAGGAAGGTAGCAAGAAAGGAAGGAAGGTAGGAAGGAAGGATCAACATCACGTCAACACACACAGCCGCATCCGAACTTAAGTCAAATGTGACACATTAAATAAATGATGAGAGGGGGAAGGAGTCTAACCTTGTCCTAATTACATCTTATCTGTTCCATCAGTGCTGCGCTCTGGCCTATTTTCATCGCTAAAAATTTATCACCCTCCCTTCTGTTGTGAGAGATAACCCGCACTCGTTTTAGTCCATCTCTGAAGACCGCCAGGCAGAAAGGAAGCCAGTGAAAGGCTGGTGGCAGAGTGTCACTGCCTCCGCTGGCAACTGAGCTCCGCTTCCATGCCCCTGAAAACCACTTCCGCTGTGCAAGTGAGCATTCTAAAAGTGCTTTCTGTCACATACAGTGGAAAAATCCACATGATTCCCAGCCCGGATGATCAGAAAATACTGACAGTTTTTCTGAACTCGAAGTCCACAAACAGTGAGGGTACATTATGTTGTACGTCTATGTACTGTATACTTTAGCCCGTACTCATTAAAATATGACTAATGGCTCTCTTGGGGTCTTTTGTCAGGAATGAGACAATACTATAAGGACTGAATCGTCATTTTCCATTTTATCTGCTGCAAATCGGAGGCATTAATTCAAAAGTCAGAAAGATATTCAGTATGCGCGCAAACAGCCCCCAGCATGTTTTTACGAATGCACGTATATTACAATGCTCGAATGCGCCACCGAAGACACTTAGCGACTTCTCTCTCACGACGCACACTCCCGCCGCTTGCAAGTGAAAGCGCTCAAAGAGCCATCATTCTGAGGGCACTTAACCAACCACTCTTGCGCTTTGATTTTTAAACGCGGCATTGCCTTGAGTAAATCCGATCTCTTTCAGGTTATACGCAAACAATATTGAAAACATTGATGCCTTTTAAAAGGAATCTAACTTGTTTCTATGCCTCAGTTTGACCTTGAGCGTGAACATCGCAGTGGGGCTCCTCTGTTTATTTATTTTTTTATTTATTTGATCAAGACTGCTTAAAGCAGGGGTGTCAAACTCATTTCACATGGTGGGCCACATACGGCCTCGGTAGATGTCAAGTGGGCCGGACCATTAAAATGATACAATACTTTGCTATAAATAACCAAAACAATATGTGTTTCCTTTGTTTTGGTATAAAGAAGCACAAGAACATTAGGAAAATGTTGAAATTTAATGAACATATCTTTTACAAAACATTTCATGAAGCACCTTACATTTCCTTCGACAAATGTGCAATTTACTTTTATCATTCACATATATGCATTGCAACTGATCCCACTGATTGTACAAACTTTAACAAGTAATTGGTATTGAAAAATATAGTAATGCACTTTAAGATTAAACAAGATTCAGAAAGAAAGCAAGTTTTAAAGCATTTACACGTGCATATAAAATCTAAATGTAATCCCTGCCTATACCTTACAAACTAAGGAGAGTGCTATTAAATGTGTAAATGTGAGAGTGCTATTGATAGCGTCTGCTGTCATGGGTCTGTCTCAGTGACAGACTGAGGCTGCTGTTGTCTTCTTCTCTGATCAAAACAGTGTCCCCTTGCGGATACTCAATGAATTGCACCTGATTAAAAATATTAATTCTGTGTCTTTAATGCATTTTTTTCACTTTTACATTATCCTGCGGGCCTGATTGAACCTACTTGCGGGCCGGTTCCGGCCCGCGGGCCGTATGTTTGACACCCCTGCTTTACATAATCATCTCGCGGGCCGGATTAAACTCCTTTGCGGGCCGGATCCGGCCCGCGGGCCGTATGTTTGACACCCCTGTCTTAAAGCATTCTAAGATCCAAGCAGCGTTTGATTCTTTTTCGAGGGCTCAAGTTGCATTGCTTTGTATATGCAGGAGCAGGCATCCGCAGTCTGCTTGGACCGGGCCCACCAGCATAATCCTGAAATCTAATCCACTTCAAAATGCCCTTGGAATGACACGCCAAAGCCACAGTTCGGTCCAAAAGATCTTCGAGGCTTCACCCCGACAGAGGAAGCAGTGACGCAACGAGATTTCCCGCTGCATGAGGGGCGACCATGTGGCGGGAAATAGAGGGCACCAAGTGGGTCAAATTCCATATTCATGCCTTTCAATCCCCACAAGACCTGACGTCACAATAATACTGTAATGGCCGTCTGTCAACCCGCCAACCTGTCGGATGCACGGGGTGGGAGCTGTTGCCATGACAACGGCCATAAAGTCAGCAGGACGGGCCAAGATGGCACACGGATACATTTAATATGACATTTAGGAGATGTGATCTGTAAACCTTCAGCTCCCATGGCTTATCCCCCAAAGTCACCCCCAGTCTTAACACACAATACATCCATCTGCAATTTACTCGAAAGGTACGGGAGTTGTTTTAGTCGCAGATTTATTGAAAGTATGTTTATAGTACAAATGTGGCATAGATTTCTGAGGCAACAAAACCCTTTATGGGGTTCAGTGGCAGAAGGAAGAACTACCAGGGTGCAAGTCGTAGCAATAAAATAATGCAATAAAACACCCCAAATGTCAACCCCAATCTCTTTTGCGCAGACATAACCTCACTGCAGTCTCATGTAGAGGTAACTCCATTTTGATCGCAGTTGCTACACATTGTGCCGTTGATCTCATCACCCCCCTGGCAAATGATGCCTGTCACATTTAAATTGCCAAGTCCGAATTCTCCACATTGAACGTCGTGTGATTCATTGATCATCCGATTAATTACACCGCACGGAGACAAAAGCCAGTGTCCAATGGAACCTCCAGATCCATTTCTAGCACCTCCAGCAGGGCCTATTGGTCGTGCGATTCCACTTCCACTCTCATCCACCATCCCGGGAGAGTCGCCTCGGAGTCCTCACTGGAGGGATGCGCTGGATCTCTGTGATTGGAGCATTATGTTATCACCTCAACACAGCTACACAGCCAGCAGGAGCCCCGTTTCGACAGGAAGCTACAAATCTATATGCACACGAGAGGGGCTTCAGTGTACGCGCGTGAGACTGTTAATAAGTGTATTTTCATGCAAATTGACTTTCTTCCCCCCCCCTAAAGACACGACAAGGACAGAATCTCACATGGCTCAGGAAGTTTGAGCACGAAAGAATGAATGACCGTGGCCTGACATGAAAGGATTTATTTGTCTACGTTGAGGATATTTTACGAAGCATAATCCCAAAAGTGTAAGTCGAGTGGTGCCATTGATTCCGCTTTAAGACTCGCAACATGGTGCAGAAGCCTTCCTGGGAGAGTTGCAATTATTGATAGCTGGCTTTGTACAACTTGTCCTCACTCATTTCGATATTCCGGTGGCCCTGATAGCTCAAGGCAACAAAAATAAGAGGGAGGAAAAACTGAGACAACACAAAACGCTGCAGAAATATTGCAGCTTCAGATTACTGTGGCGTCATTATTACATTATTTGATCTGCTGTTTATTCATGAGTTTGCTTTCAATGTGTAAGGTTGTTTATGGTGATGAGAGAATGTAGTAACAGAAAATGTACAACGTAAAGAATGCTGGGCAAGACTAAAGAGCTGCCAAAAGATGTCACGGACAAGATTGTAGACCTGCGGAAGACTGGAATAGGATAGAATCAGCAAAAGGCTGGATGAGAACGTGACAACGGTTGGTGCCGTTATTCCAACATGGAAGTCACACAAAATGGCCATCAACTGCCCCCAGTTTGGAGCTGCATGAAAGATCTTCCACAGTGCAATGGGGACGATCAGAAAAAAAGTCACGGAAAAGCCTCACGGCACACAGCAAGACCTTGTGAATGAGCTGAAGGCAATCCAAGCGTTCGATCGGATGACTCTGATATCAGTGTCATGCTCTGATGTATAATTCACTCTGAAAATCGAAATAACAGACAAAAAAAAAAAAAAAAACCACAGAGGACATCATGTGACTAAATGAGGCTCATATACAAATGGTACAGCAAAAAAAAATTTTTTGGGGTGTCCCGGCAGGTGGTCATCCGAAAGTGATCTCAATCTATAGTTTCGTATTTCATCATGCTACTTCAAGATCGGCAGGCATCCAAACCTAACGTTTGAGAGTGAAGAAACGGAAGCCTCTGCAAAACTTACTGGAGAGTCTCACATCTTTGTTTGTATTGACATCGCCTCAAGCCTTCCTTGTGCTCGGGATGAAATATTCTAAAACAGGAAACTGACAGGGATTTTTGTATTTGAAAAGGGAATTTGACATTCTCTTCCTCCAGCGAGTCGTCTTTGAAGTCCCTGTCAGTGTGTTTGCCGGGAATCGCAATTAGCTGCTGAAATATAGGCACCCGGTTGAAGGTGAAGATGTACCAGCGTCGTTCCTTCATGTTTGAGCTTCATTAAACCAACAACGACAACGTGAGCGGATAAGGTCAAGTGAAAGACTTACATTGGCAGCTCATTTCTGTGAAGCCTCGATGTGAACGCGTGCGGGGTTCCTGAAAAAAGGAAACAGGACGCCGTCAACCTAGATCACATTGTCACGGTTTACTTGCCACAGCACTCATCTGAGGAAAAAGCATTTTCACGCATATTACCAACCGTGTTCAAATCATCAGATGGTGGGCTCGAGTGCTCGAGGCCACGTCGCCTTCAGGTTCAGGCGAGGAAAAGTCTACTTTTACACTTCTTTGACCTACTTTCCTCCTCTCGTCTCAATAGCACATTTCAATCGCGGCAGGCTCCCACTCATTCATATTCCGTTGGCTTTTATAGCACCTGCAGCGTTTCAGACGCTATGACAATGTTGAATGTGGACTCCCGTCACCTTCCCCAGCCCCACCGCACCTCCGCAAACACTCTCACCGCGTGTCCTGTATGATAACACCGCCGTGCACGCAGACGGGTTAACACACAAGATTGGGCATATGCATTGGTATTTGTGTGCACCTAAAAATGATTCGGAGTATGGAACTATTTTTTCCTCCGCTACATATTGCATATGTGTGTACATTGCATCCCAAGATGCTTGTGGAGGCTCTCAGTCGTACAGGAAAGTTCCATCGTAGAAAGGGTTCTGTCAGTCGTCATCTGTACCTGTGGGTAAAAAACAAAAAAACAAAAAAAAAAACAAAAAAACAAAAAAAGCAAAAAAGGACGTTTCGCTTCTCTCACAGAAGCTTCGTCAGCGGTAGACAACCCTGAAGTCTCCGTGAAGACTCCGGGAAGTTGCTCTGCGCTAAAAAGCTGAGCGTGGCCTGTTTGAGGACTGGGTGGGGATGGTTAGTCACGCCCCTATTGGTTTATTAGAGGCCCATTGGTTTCTAAATTCCCTATCATTGGGTCTTGATTAGGCCTATTGTTTGGGCTAAGGCTGAATAGCTACTTTCAGTTAGCCTGATCAGCATGTCTATGTCCCTTACTGGTCAACAAGTTATTGTAAATAGGAGACAGGTTAAATCTGATACCTCCTTCACGGTTCAGAGAGGGTGAAAATTTTTTAACAAAAATCGCTTCTTTTACCCCCCTTTCAAACCATCTCTTTTCTGTTCCTAGGATTTTTACTTGTTCATCTTCAATTGTGTGGTTTGGTTCTTTTAAGTGTGCGTATACTGCACTTTATCAACACAAATGGAAAAACAA